TTCTCATGACAGACCTGCAACAATTCCTTCATCTGTTCGAATACCACCAACTAAGACATTAACCCAACTACCCCCGTCTGCCACACCAATCTGGCTACCCCTAATAACAAAGGGCAGTCCATTTTCCGCATCAAAAGTATCCGAAGTATTACCTACGAACTCATTCAAAGCAAACTTATTGATAATAGAGTACCAAGTCACAAGATTTCTAACAAGCATTTATCAAACACCTTGTATGCACTATCAAGATATTCATAAGTATCATAAAAATGCACCAATAACCCATATAAAATCGCATAAAAATTGAACAAAAAACCAGATTATGAAATCGCCCAGGAAGTCGAAAAAAAATCGCACGGGAAATCGAACAAAAATCAAATTTTTTTTGATGAAATTGAAGCTAAAAATCGATATGATGCAATTAAACCTGCAATTCAATGATTAATGCAATTCGAAAATTAACATGTAATTCAATAATTTTAATGAAAATTTTGAATCAAAAGTAAATTCGATAATCATCACAACATGAAATTCAATAATTTCAACAAAAATTTCAAGAAGCTAAGAAGAGGAGAGAGAAATTGACAAAATGAACATACTCAATAATTGAAAAAATTTCTGTACTTGTGAACAAGCTAAGAAGAGGAGAGAGAAATTGTCAAAGTTGAGCCATTAAATTAGACGCCATTGATGAAGTCAGTTTTAAAGAGAGAGAATTTAGTTTTAAGGAGAGAGAAATCAGTTTTAAGGAGGTTTATGTAATTAATCTCAGCTGTTGGATTTAATAAGATTAATGGCTGAAATTTGTTCTTACATAAGGGATGTGGTCTCACATATAAGGTGGTTCTCACCGGATCCTGACCCTATATATATATATATATATAGAGAGAGAGAGAGAGTATGAACCATATGTTTATACATAAAAACTCATAACATGGCTTGATTTCCTCCACATCAAAGGGTTTATATTTGAGCCCTCATCTCTTGATCGATCTTGCAAGACTTTGTTGGATGACAAGATTCCTCTTCTTGAATATGGTGGATGACAGTACGGCCATTTGATTAATATTTGACATCACCATACTCTAATGAACAGGAATTGCAACAAAGACTTCATCAATAAAATCATCCAAGTGCACCAAAATAATACTAATAATAATAATAATAATAATAATAATAATAATAACAACAACGTACCGATTCAAATCCCATCAATTGTTATGACTTTTATATTTTCTATAACAAATTAAAGTTTAGGCTTTATTCACTTCACCTTTTGTGTTTTTTACATGTCTAAGAAGCTCTGATGATATAATTTAGGAATAGTATAATTTCATGATTTGGCTAATAAGTTTAGGATTAGGAGTTAGGACTCTATTCTACTCTCACCTTATGTTCAGGTAATTTAAGTGAAAACAAACGCTAACAAGGGGAATCATTTCCATTCCCTTTCTCCATTCCAGCGAACCAAACGACCCCTAAGATCAAGATAAGTTTTCTTTCAAAAAAAAAAAAAAAAAGATCAAGATAAGTTTAGAGCTAATAAGCTCAAATTATATATGTTTAATTAAACCTAATAAGTTAAAGTTGGGTGAGACAATATATGCTTTGGGTTATTAATTAAGTTCATATAATGATTGGCATACTTGATTTTTTTTTTCCCTCTCAACTTTGAGTACCAATATCTTTAATTACGTATTAAAACTTGTTTTGTTTACCTTATTTTCACTTATTTCACTTCAGAAAAGTTCAGTTAAGTTCTGATAGTCCAGATAAGTTCATATAAGATAAATTTTGGAAAAATAAATTTTGATAAGGGTTGCCCAAAATATAAATTACAGCTAAAATAAGTTTTAATAAGTTCAGATAAATATCATGTGAATAAAACACACTAAAAACTTGAAATTACAATAATATACATTAAGATAAATCCGATAAAAACTAATTAACATTTTATTTTATATAATAGCCAAAAAATATGGTCAAAGTTAAAAAAAAGTCACACATGTCTATTATTATGGAATGAAGGTAGTAATGTTAAAGTATTGTAAAAAGCAAGATGACTTAAATGTATTATTATAGATGAAGAGTACACTAGGTGAATATTCTAGAATCACCTAACAATTTTTTATAATGTTAACGATTACAAACTTTTAGAGCTTCCCTCCCCTTTCGATTCCTGGGCTCAAAAAATACCAAAGGGGAATTAAAAAGCTTTCATAACCCTTCATTGTCAAAATAAAGAGAGCCAACGTCCTCATCACGAAAGCGACTCTTTCCCACTCTCTGTCTGTTTTCTTCCCCTGATTTCCCCCCATCCTTCTTCTTGTCGTTTTCCTTCCTTGGAATGTGTGCTTGATACTTTTTTTATTTTTATTTAGAAAAAAAAAACCACTTTCTCTATAAATTTTTTTTTTTCAAAAAATATGTAAAGAATTTACTACTCGTAGTACAATAATTGTTTATTTATTTATTCACTAACTTCAAGAAGTTCAAGTAGATTTTATTCACGCTCTCCTATGGCCATAAAAAGGTTAATTACATGAAGAAAACATGCAGTGATTGCAAGAATGAAGTAGGAAATTATCTTATTAATCATCCTCAAGGCTCATTGAGTGATGATTGTTGTTCGTTAGTCGAAAACGACCCAAGTCCCTTAATCAAGAGCATCTACAACCAAGCATGTTCCGGTGGTGCTGCATCTCCTCCTAGCGCATAAGAGTTTATTAATACGTAATTAGCCTGCAATAGTTTTATTATTACATTTTTATATAACCTAATAATAGTCATTAGGAACTTTAGATTAAAATAAATGTGGTAATCACATATTTAAATAAGTACTGATAGTTCTCCTTAGAAAAATTAGCAGTTTGTTTTTGTAGTTATGATATCATTAATTAAGTTTATATACTATGAAAGTTTATTTTAGTTAGATGTATTATTATTTATAGTTGCCTTTGCGTTTTTTTATACTACGTATTTATTTTTGGCTATTTGTATTATACTAAATCTACGCAATAATTTGTTGTTACTACTTCCTTCGTCCGCAATTATCTGCAACATTTATTTAAAATGGGTGCTCTATATTATTTGCAACAAATTTTTTTCTTTCCTTTTTGGGTAATATTTAACTATCAATTACCCACTATTACCCACTTTTTTGGTTAGTGGTCCCCTCCACCACCTATTACCCACTAACTAAAACCCACTCAAAACAAAAATTAAGTGGGACCACTCCTTTTCCCTCCATTTTCTACTTTAATTAAACCCACCAAAGCTCAATTAAAACTCCCCTAAAAGTTTTGCCTATGAGTCCGAAATATTTTCCTTTGTTGCAGATAACCTCGGGTGAAGGGAGTATATATTATGCGCTTGTTTCTATCTCAACCTAAAAAAAATTTACAATTTAATTCTTTGCATGAAAAAAAATAGAAGTATTAAAGTATTTATTAAACACAATTTCAAGTTTATTAATCATACTCGGATCCAAGGTATATGAATTCAGGGCCAAATTCTGCAAACAGATCAATGTCACAACTTTTCCTTTTACCATTTTTTTAAAGGTTCCAGCAAAGTAAAGGTTTTTTCAATTATTACTAACATAGTTTCCTTAAAATTTAAATAATCTTTATTAAACTAAAAGATATTGTGTTCATAATTTTGTAAAAAATTAATTATATAATAAGATTGTATAAATCTTTATCCGCACTTTCTAATAATTGGCAATGTTCAAAATAATAAAATTGTGTGTTACAGGTAATGTCCTAGTAAAAGTTAGGTTAATGCCTTATACACAAGCAGGATTTATAATTCCATCTTCGTTTATTGGATCAAAAAGGTTTTCAAAACAAATTAAAATTTATGGTTTCTTCTGATTTTCGAAAAATTGATACTTTTTTTTAAAAAAAATTATCAACCAATTACAAAGTGACACGTAGCATATTCACCTATCAAAACCAGTTACCAACAAATTAGGGACCAATAGAAGAAAATTGCCTATAAAGGTAGAATGTGGGATTATAAGATATTGCCTCCGTTTTTAAATACTTGCTCCACTTTCCATTTCCGACCGTTTTTAAATACTTGCCCCATTTCCTTATTTTGAAAGTTTTTACAATATTTAATTCATTTCTCTTTAATACTGAATAACATTATATTTTATTACTTTTAGTTTCTCTTTCCTCCAATTTACCTTCCACTAACCCCACTAATCCTATATTTTATTACTTTCTCCAATTTCTCCTAAAACTCCATGTATGGAGAAATGGAGCAAGTATTTAAAAACGGAGGGAGTAATAATCAAAAGGATGGATTATTAACAACGAATCGGCCAAAAAATTATTAGCATCAATTTTTCCTTTTTATTTATTTTTTATTTTTTATTTTTAAATCCAAATAGGATCCTACAAACATTAAAATCCTACTACATACATAAAATTTGAATCGACCATGACGTGGTTTTATATTGTAGAATCATGATTTTGAGAGTGCAAACTTATAGTTTACAAATCAGATCATAATTATTGTCCAATATATTGATTGTGCTTCGATAGATATTGACATAATTATGACAGTATATTTAATTTTGCATTTTATAATAAAATTTTATGTTGACATTGAAATTTTGATCTCTAATTGTGTCGTTTTTGGCAAATTAATGCCAATGATTTTGATTGATTGACAAATTAATGGGATAACTTTATAATTATCAAAGTAATGTAAATGATTACTAGAGTACAAAATATAAAACATTGATTAATAAGTATCAACTAATGTCATTTACTTATTGTGTTTGATTGAGCTTCAAACGCTTACATGATGTGGGTGAACTCTCTTTCTCTCCCTATTCTTTTATTCTTTCAATTCATTTGACATATTTAGCTATAAAATCTTACTTCCCCTTCGGCCCTTCATATTATTAATTTGTATGTCGAAATCAAGAATAACAATAACAACGTAGTAAAACATAGAGTAACATAGATTAGAACTATTACTTGTACTTAGGCAACCAACAACTTTAATATTAATTCATATAAAACACATGCATAAGATACAACGTCCACTTTTATAGTTTTATTCATTAATACACGTAGCTTCATAGAGCCATACATGTAACTATGTAAGCTACGTGATATTATGGTAAGCACAAGAAATCAAAGCTTTGTAATAAGCTTTAATTATTAGATAAGTATATATCGATCGGAGGATAGGGGCGATCATTCCAGTCATAACAACGATTGCCTAGACAGTCGATATTATGTCCACTAATTTCACAACAGTCAATAAATGCACAGTTTTCCCCCGGATTTGCGCAGGCTTTGAGGTTCTTCAATGGTTGTTGCTCTGCCGTTGCTACTTCTCTTGCAACCTCTTGTAAAACCTTTAACTCCTCTCTCTCTAACACCTTCTTCGCCTCATCTAATATCTCCCTTTTGGTTGTGTCGTCAACGGTGTTTCCTTTCCTGCTTGCCCATTGAAGGTTCAATGGGCACTCAAGAGGGAGGGGGGTGAATTGAGTGTTAAGTAATCGTTAGCGATTTTTGCTTCTTTTCGGATTATGTGTAAGGAACCAGTTGTGCTGGTTCCCTTATGCAGCGGAATAAAACAAAGCAATAAAGAACACAACAAATTTAACGAGGTTCAGCCAACTCAGGCCTACGTCCTCCTATCCTAAGTTCTTTATTAATCTACTCCGAAAAACAAAGACAAAGAACACTCTGCTGTTTCCCTACTCCGGGAACCAGCAAACCCCACACTCTACTCCGAGTGTGCTCTCGACTTACACTCGTAAGCCCAATGTGTTTGAACTCACAAACACTCACCCAGCCTTTAACCTCTTTGTTAAAGACTCAATACAAGAATCAAGAACTCTCCTTTGATCTCACTTCTACGAAGCTAATTAAGAGAAAATGTTTTTGTACTAGAATGCTCTTGTATATGACTTGATGAATGGGATTAGTGCTTAAGTATATGCTCTCAAATAATTGCTCTTTTTAATTTCTGGAGAGGCACACGAAATATGTGAAATAAGATGAGTTTATATAAGCTTAGATTCCTAAAACCTAGTTTCCTTAAATCACACAATCTTAGAGAATAAGATATATTGTAATTTTAGGAAAGTATTTATCTTATTTGATTTAATCACAAAGATGGAATCAATTAAGATAAATACTCCTAGTTTTTAGGTAACCAAGAATATTTCATCTTATTTCCAGCTGCACAAAATATTTTCAAAATAATCTTTTCGAAAAAATCTTTTTGTAAAATCTTTTTCCAAAACGGCAGCTCGAATATTTCGTACAGTGAACCTGGTTCCCCGACCTGGTTCCCTGAATTGAAACATGTTATGAAACCTGTTCCAACTTTGTACCAGATTTCATATCATACTTCAATATACTTTTAAGCACTTATATAACCCAAACATGCAAGCATACTACGGAGCATATTACATGAAAACCTAGATAACATATTAAAGCATAAATCGTCTTTTCTTCATGTAATCTTCAAGACTTGAATCTTCCTTGAATACTTCTATTATGAGCAAACAATCTTTCTTCGAAATATCTTCGAAAGGCTTCTATGCTCCAAGTCTTGGAATCAACTCAACTACTGCACATGTAACATGGTTAATGCACAATAAAGAGTATGTGACTGCTTTTCCGCATAGCAGTCAAGGAAACGGTTCATACTGGTTCCCCACCAGTACATAGCACATTTATCATCTAACTGTTTCCTGTATATAGATAAGTTAGTTCAATAGATAACTCATATAATCAATAACTTATCTAGGAAAACAGTGTTCTATTATAGCTGGTTCCAACCAACTGTTTTCAACACTTATTAAAACCTGTTTCCCATAGCTGTTTGTCATCATTCAAAACCATCATTCAAAACCTAAGGGACTCAACAAATTCCCCCTTTTTGATGATGACAAACTTTTGAAGTTCCTGAACCTGTGGACATGCTCAAAAGGAAAACCGTCAAAAACTTCAAGGACTCAAGACTCTTTGGAACAAGTCAGTTAGGCCAACTGGTTCCCTAAATAGAAAATAGAAAATACGAAATAAAAAGACTCAAACTGACTCAATCTAAACTAGCTAAACCTTAGGCTTCAACTTCAGACTACTTCCCCCTTTTGGCATCATTAAAAAGTATCCACAAGTAAAAGCAATGTGCACAAGTTAATGTGCTTATCCATACAATGGCATCAACCACCATTCAAGCATTATGCTGCAAAAAGAGATTAGTCAAACAGTTCATACCATAGCAGAGTTAGTAGTTCATACAAGCCAACAAAGTTCAACCAAAGAAGCCCAAATCCATCCAAAAAGAAAGTTCATGGAATGGAGAGAAGTAGACAGACCAACAAAATCAGTTATTTTAGAATAAACATGAGGGTGAGGAAACAAGAACAGAAACAGCATCACTCCTCATCATCATTCTCGTTCCCTTCCTCCTCCTCGAACTTTGCAACATCTTCTGTATTATCATCTGATTCCTCTTCATCCTTGTCACCATGCTCTGCTTAAACCAAAATCATTATATTACTAAGCATATTCTTGTGATTCCCCAATCTGTTTCAAAACCACTTCCTGACCTGCTGGTTCCTCTATTTTTTTTTTTTTTTTTTTTTTTTTTTTATAAATCATGAGAGATCCGCACTTATTCATAAAGTTCTCCTTGTTGCATAACGAGTACAAGACTAGCATCACATCAATCAAGCAAAGACCTCCACCCTTTTGTGGTGTGAAAGATTCTTGCTGGTACCCCTTTTCTCTTGGTTTTCGGAAGAGAATTAATGGACTGTTCCTCCTACACCTTCTCAGTGAACTTCTTTAATGAAGATTGAGTTACTCTACTTCGTACCATGGTCTTAACAATGAGTGTCTCCTCATTGTAACCAACAATCTCTATTTCATCCTCTTCACTCTGACTTTTCCGAATTTCCTCCAACTTCGGGCTTAAGGACATTTGAGCTTCCTTCTGATGTTCCCCCTGAGACTGAGCTGGTTCCTTGAGTGAACAGTAACCGAATGAACAATGATGAATTTAAAGCATACGAGAGAGAGAAAGAGAATTTCAAGTGATGATGATTGATGATCTGCACAAAGGGTTAGTGTATATTTTTAACAATGAAGCACAAAGAGAGAAGAAGGAAAGAAAAGAGTTAGTTGAGCCAATAAAAAGCAACTGTAAAGGATATTTTTTTTTTTTTAAATTGAAATCAAAAATTTGGTAATTATCTTTTACCATAATTATCTCAACCAACTATAAATAAGGCATATGATATGTTTGCCTTTTATATGGGATTAAATAACTGAAATAAGATAAATTCCTTCCAAAAGGAAATATCTTATAGTAATCTTCCGAAAATAAAAGATATTATCGGATGACATATCAGAGCTGGTCTGCTGTTTCCCTTTGCTGGTACCTGTATAGAACCATGTCACGCTGTTTCTGGCAATTCAGCCTGATTTCACCTGTTTCTTACAACAATGATTCTCAATCCTTTTGAGATTTTGAACCATCTACACAACACTTGAAAGATATCAACATAAGTATGTACACACGCTATACAAGAGAATACCATTCTAACCAATCATTGAAGGAAGTAATTGAAGCCAATACCTAAAATCTAACTAGACCTAAAAGGACTCTTAACCTACAAAAAGACTCTCTACACAAAGGCTTTGTGAAGATATCAGCAATTTGATCTTCACTTTTACAAAACAACATCTCCACCAATCCTTTTTCCACATTGTCTCTTAAAAAATGGTGTCTTATTTCAATGTGTTTTGTCTTGGAGTGTTGCACAGGATTCTTTGAAATATTGATTGCACTAGTGTTATCACAAAAAATAGGAACACTTTTATAAATAACACCAAAATCTTTCAGCTGGTTCCTTATCCACAGTAGCTGGGAACAGCATGAAGCTGCAGCTATATATTCAGACTCTGCTGTGGATAGGGCCACTGAATTTTGCTTTTTAGAACCCCATGAAATTAGACAAGAGCCAAGAAAGTGTGCCATACCTGATGTGCTCTTTCTATCAACTAAGAAACCAGCATAATCTGCATCTGTGTATCCAATAAGATCAATGGTACTGCCTTTGGGGTACCACAATCCCAGATTTGCTGTTCCTACAAGATACCTAAGTATCCTTCTAACAGCCTTCAAGTGAGATTCCTTTGGATTGCTTTGAAACCTAGCACACAAACCAACAGAAAACACAATGTCAGGTCTACTAGCTGTTAGGTAAAGTAGAGAACCTATCATTCCTCTATAAAGAGAAGCTTCAACATCTTTTCCCTTAAGATCAGCATCTAATTTTGTAGATGAGGGAACAGGTGTATCATAAGCTTTGCTGTTCTCCATGCCGAATTTTTTCAGCAACTCTTTTAAGTACTTTTGTTGATGGATCATTATTCCATCATCCATTTGCTTAATCTGCAGCCCTAGGAAGAATCCTAGTTCTCCCATCATGCTCATTTCAAATTCACTCTGCATAAGATTAGCAAATTCATCACATAAAACCTGATTAGTAGCACCAAATAAAATATCATCAACATAAATTTGTACTACAATCAAGTGTTTCCCCCTGGTTCTTATGAACAAGGTCTTGTCTACTGTTCCCCTCTTGTAATCATTTGCCATCAAGAAATTGGACAATCTTTCATACCAAGCCCTCGGAGCTTGTTTCAACCCATATAATGCCTTGTCCAACTTGTACACATGTTGGGGGAACAGTGCATCTTCAAAACCAGGTGGCTGCTCCACATATACTTCTTCCTTTAAATATCCATTGAGGAAGGCAGTCTTTACATCCATCTGAAACAGCTTAAAATTCATGTGAGCAGCATAAGCAATTAAAATCCTAATAGCCTCTAGCCTAGCTACTGGTGCAAACGTCTCATCATAGTCAATTCCTTCTTGTTGATTGTACCCTTGCACCACTAGCCTTGCTTTGTTTCTGACTATAGTACCAAGGTCATCTAACTTGTTTCTAAAGACCCATCTAGTGCCAATGACTGATCTTTCCTTGGGACGGGGAACCAGGTGCCAAACCTGGTTCCTCTGAAACTGATTTAACTCATCTTGCATAGCTAGTACCCAATCAGGATCAGTCAATGCCATTTTATAGTCAGTAGGCTCTACATTAGACAGGAAAGAATAGAAAGCACAAAAGTTTTGAAAAACATTTGTTCTCGTTTGAATCCCCTTATTTATATCACTAATTATTTGATCAGTGGGATGAGAAGATTGATATCTATAACTTTTAAAATTAAGACTGTTTTGTGCTTTCTCATTAAGTTGGGAACCAGCATGTTCATGGATCTCTCCTTCTTCTGAGGAGCCAGGAGGATTCACATTCATGCTGTTTCCTCTATCATTACTTACCTCAGGTTCAGGGGTGGTACCTTCTTCTGTTCCCCCTGAACTCATTACCTGTCTATTATTTGAGGAACCATC